GCTTCCATTTCAGAGTAAGACATCTTGTTCACTGCATAAATTGTATTGACCAATAGAGTAGACTTGTCGTTAAGTTCAGGTGACATGCGTTTTGCAAGCCCTTGGATTGATAACGTGAATCTCTATTCTGTACCATCTTGAACCTTTCCAGCCTATGGGCTTATTGAGACAAACTTTTAATCTTGTTCAACTTTTACAGACTGCAGATTAACATATGTGCGGGAAAAATGAAAGTTTTAAAATGTTTTCTCAAAGTTCAATTACGATCCAATTACTGTCTTTAATCTCTTACTTCTCTAATGAGTGCTATAGATTTCTATACAGTACTGTAATTAACTTATCCAGACACCAATCCCTCGTTTAGAATCGAAGATGACGCTCATCTGATTGTTACGGTAGATCCAGTTCATGCAAAATTCCAGTAGATCTTAGCTCACAATTACTTATCGATCGTGTAGGGACTAAAGTTGAGACTGCAAATTCAGCGTTTTAATATGATAAAAAATAGTTTTTTTCTAAGAATATACCATCTCTGATACGATGATTCTGGTCTACGTATTGCAATAATATGATCATGTTAAAGGGACATGATATGGTTAAATACTGATTATAGATTTTAAAGGGGCACACACTGATTAAATATGTTACAATAAATAGCTATATACAGGGTGGGTCTCTACAACTACCCCCTTCTTAAAGAACTTATGGATGTCCACAGGAATCAAGCTAATTAAACTAACCGTATCACTGTATTATTTACATATTTACAAGAGAAAACTACTAAAATCTCAAAAGTCTATTTGCCAAGTTACAATTCAGCGTTCAATGTCTCTCTATTCTAATCATCAAGTTTCAACATCAATCGTCTTGTCACATAACAAAAGTCTCTTTTTTCAAAAATCACCGAATCACCAAAGTTTAACAGTTGATCCATCTCTAAGTCATCTAGCGATATGTAAGGCCCTGTCAGCACTGCTAGATCTTCATCGGGTGACGCGGGACCATAAGGGATCACCATCTACTGCGGCGAACCCTCTGACGGCTGGCCCGCCTTCCACGGAGGGGCAGAGGGACGTCGAGGGCTAGGTTCCCGGTGCTCTCCCCTTCCTCCATTGCCGACAAGCATTTCTTTTGTCTAGAGGGTTCTCCAGAGATTCTTGGCTTAGCACATAACGACACCTTGAGCTGAGGTTCTTTCCTAGAGCCGTCGTCCCTGCTCGCAGGCCCCTTGGGTGTCGTCCCATCGGCGGCCAAGACGTGGCGATGCCGATGGACAAGCAGGTCCTCTACGGCAGACAGGGTGAACCGGGATCGAGTACTGCCCTACTCCACACGACACTGTGGCGATGTATTTCCATTCCTCGCTCTAGGTGAATTGCTTCAGGCATCGGTATTGGCGTCCAGGGGCCCAACCCTGAGGTGGATCAACTAGCATCAGACAGACCTACAACAAAATAAAACTCTTACCCGCCTATCCTACTAGAAAGGTTTTTAGTATTTTTATTTGAACCTCCCCTAGGATCTCAAGGTACTAGTTTTCTTTGTATTTATTAATACATCACAGCACATACCAGTAGGACATTCGATTGTCCAAGCTTATCTGCTTCTGCTGAAGCTAAGTGATTAATTACACCACTTTCCAGTGCCTGTGTGTTGTTTATCTCTTATCTCTCCCTGTAATAACTGCTTAAGCTATGGCCAGAGTTTTAATTAAACCGCATTGACATTTTACACTGGTTTTATCACTATACATCTAACAATCAATTTATTTTTAATTTCGAAATAAAGAAAATTTTATTAGCTTTAATTTGATACCAAATAGTTAATACTTTCTAAACTCATTGGTATATTTTAACCATGTTTGTGTACTGTATAAATATAAAATTGATGTTGAAAATCTCATGAATTCCTCAAGTTACGCATTCAAGTTTCATAAATTCATTATATTTATACTTATGTATTTTTCACATGTTTCATTTTTTGTCATTGATAAAGAAGTGACTTCATGCCTTTATAACATGAAAACAGCCCGAACGCATCAACCTTCATTTATAAGAAATAGACATTTGAAGTTGTACTGTGAGATCACCTTTCAAATACAGAGAAGTGGTTACAGTAGTTACAAAGTTTAGTAAAACTATTTAGCCATGCTGGAAGTAATTACAATTAAGTATGTAACTTACCTAAGATTCATTTAGGATGATCATAGATGAAAAAATATTTCTGTTCTTGTCCATTATTCTTTTAATTTCTTTGTGAATTGATTCACCACCTTGTTCTCCATGAAGGGATAACCCATGTCCCCATCGTTCTATCCAGGGTATGACGTGACACTCCAGTAAGTGTTGTTTTTGAATAATTCTTGTTTGAGGAAATGTTTTTTCTTAAGTATGACATATACTTTTGGATGGCTAATTCTATTGAGGGATCTCTGTCTTGGATATAACATCCATTCCACATATCTTAAGATTAATATTATTATATAATTTGTTCAACTTTGTGAATTTTTTTTCTATCCACTCGGCCTTTGTATATAATGTTTTACTATTTGAAAGTTCGCAAACCTTTTCTTTTATTCCAGTGGCTATCTCACTTTGAACGTCTTTCGTTAAATATTTATGGCAGTGATTGCCTACAAATGAGTGACTGTGATAGGTCTGTTGAACAATGTTATGCTTTTTCAAGCTTGAATAAATCACAATCAACTAGTGGCCCTGACTTTACTCCCAATGTTGGCATTTTTCCTAGTTTCCTTTATGCTATTTGCTGCTTGTTTTTCAATCTTTTTCTTTTTCACTCCATTTGCTTCACTGGCTTCAAATTCAAGAAATCCTATTTTTGCTAGATTCTCAGCATATTTGTGTCATGCGTTTATATATACATATGATATTTTGATTTCTTAAGCTTAAGGTTGCTTCTATCCATTAACTTGTCCACTAGTTTTTTATCTATCTTATGACATTCGTCGTGATGTTTAAAATCTGAGGGTTGGGAATCCTCAACAGGGGTTTCAGTCTCTTGGTCTAGACTAGTGGTGTCAATTAACTGCTGTTTTTACTGGTTAAAGTTGGTTAACTGGCGGGAAATTTGAACTGATACTTTCAAATGAAATCTTCATCTTCGATCTTGAAAGTTGAAAAAAATTGGAAAAATGATATATCGGCTTTTATTTTTTATGTTTGTCAAGCTTTATTCTATTCATACACTACCTGACTACCGGTATCTCTAAATTACTTACCACACTGGTTTACCCTTGGAATCTCCACGAACACACCATAACAACGAAAATTGCAGCTGATTAGTGTTTATTTTAATTTTAATTTTCTCACTACCAAAGTGAGGCTTTGACCTTTGACATTTTGGCGACATTGATAGACAACAATAATAACAAAACTGACAAATTAAAAAATGCATATAATTTATATATGAAATTATAAATTATATGTAAAATTATTAAATAGAATAAATATCTAAAACTAAAATAAATGTGTAAAATTTGTGAATAAAATTAAATCTGCGCCAGATTCTGCAGACTTCTCTTGTCAGCTTGGAGTCGGCAAATCCACTGTCTTGGTACAAAACCAGGTACATGTATATAAACGATGAATTTTTTTATTGAGAAAGACAATCGCATTAACATGTTTGGGAGTGAGTTGGGATCTTTTTTGGTAAGTGTGTGACCTGTTAAGCTGAAAATTCTCTCTGACAGTGTTGATGTCGCTGGGATGCACATATATTTTTTTGCTAGTTTTGATAAGTTTGGATATTTGTTCGAACTTTCTTTACTTTGTGGAAAGGTTAATAGGTGGTTCAAACATTATAACGTAGATCGTCTAATTTTTCCATAATATATTTTTTGGTCTGAATTTTTTTACATAATATATGTACATGTATATAAAAATCATGTAGCACTTTGACAAATCGTTTTCTTAATACTGTTTTCAAAATACTCAACATTACCCTGAGTTGAATTCTTTTATCTTTGAATTCTCCTATTAACTCTCAAGATAAATTACCTGAATATTATCTGAAACTTTGCTGAAAAAACTGTTACATATCAGTGATTACAGCATCATTAACACACAGTGAAACATATTCATAAAATATAGAATTAATGAAGACAAATACAATAACAGGCATCACAAATCAATAGTCCTAGATCAAACAGAATATCAGCAGCATCTCACTCTTGTAGTGGTTGCAGCATTTCTTTCCTCCATATATAAATTTTCCCTATGGTGTAAAGTTGATTAAATATTCATGAAGTCCTTTCTTCTAAATATGTGTAAATTTGCAAGAAGTACTTTCTCCTTGGTCTATATTTCTTAATTACATCAAATCAATATCAAGTTAATACCATAATATAATTCTCCTTGTGTTGTACAGTTTAATTTCACTTAAACCATCTGTCCAGAGTCAGCTGCTTCCCAGCTTTCTTCAATGATAAGTCTAATATTGTCTCCTGCAGTTTTGGTGTAGTTTTTGGTTCATCATTATTGGAAGGTTGTTTGTATGTCGGTTCATCATCATTGGAAAGTTGTTTGTTTATTGACTCAGGTGTTGTATCAGAAAGGTGTGTGTTTGCTGGATCTTCATCTTGAAGTAAAACTTTAGCTGTTTCAGCTTCTCCCAATATTGAATCCCAGGTTTTTTTTATTACCTCAATTGACTCGTTTGCAGCTTCCATCCTTTTAACTTTTAACTGTTCTTGAGGGGAAATGTCAACTTCTTTCAGGCAAACAGTTGGGTTGGATTATGATGAAGAGATAACCTTTCAAGCTATGAGTAATCAAATCTTGGCTTTTGGTATTAATATCTAAGCACAAGCGCCAAAGGGAAAGGACCAAAAGTTGTAATGGAACTTAGCAAGAAAAAGCAAACCATTTAGTGCATACCAGTCAAGAAAAATAAACCCCATATATCCCAAAACCATGATCTAACGAGAAAAGTAACAATGTCTAATACCCCTTTTCCCCCACCATTCAAGATCCGATATCACAATCAAAGACCAGAACACCAAGGGACATTTCATTCATACTGAAGTCATTACATACATATTGAATAAAAAAAAATTAAAAATTGATTGCCAATACTCATAACATCAAAAATAGTTGTAGATACAAGTACTCATAAAATGATGTGGGATAGATAAAATCCAGTCTCCAAGTCTGAGATGTCCGAGTGTAACTTTTCAGGATATCATCGCCGAGTGGTGAAAGTCTGGCGAAAGAGTCCCACCCACTATCCATATCATTATCAATATCCTGCCTGGGCTCATTTGTCTTCTCTTTTCCCTGGACACTTGCCACCTCTTGGTCCTGTGAACTCAGTAAAGAGGGCCTTACAGATGAGACAGGGATATCAAGAGACATCAGATCAGGTGAAGAGTCGATGGCTTCACTTTCATTTGAAAGATCCATATAAGTAATCTTAGGAATGCTCGCATTAATCTGGCCAATATGTTTCGCAATGTGTTCGTTTATTGCCTTTTTATAGTCCATAGGCCTTGTATACCTACACTCAGGACAAAGAAGTTTTTCTGTGTGCACATTCCTCACATGCTTGTTTAGTTTAATTTTACTATCAAATTTCTTGGAGCATAGTTCACATCTGTGTTTGTTATGTAATAGAAACTCATGCTCTATTAACGCTTCTATTTCAACGACGGGAGCCCCACCCAAAACATCTTGAATGGAATGTAGACAGGAATAGATCTGGAAATATAGGGTACTGGAGATGAGTGTAGGTCAAACGTTCTAAACAAACATTGTTTATTATATATCAGTAGTAATGAATATACCAATATACAGTATATATGGGATTAACATCTGAACTCCCCGAAAATCATCATAAAATTCAATTTATAATACATATTGTACAAAAAGTCATATAGCTTCACTATTTTTAGGCCAAATATAGCAAAACTATATATTTTTAGAAAGGAATTGAATGATCATGATTCGCTGGATATGCTAAATGATTATCAACAACATGGAGGCATGATGTAATATCCCCAAACCGTTTACGTGGCATAGTGTTTATGACCTCAGGCACGCCAAGTCCCCAAGATGTTGACCAATAATCTCGAGTGCAGGGTAATTCATGGATGGACATCAGCAGGTGTATTTCGATTTAAGCCTTTATTTCCTCTGAGGTGACATGAGTCCATGCTGGCTTATTATTTCGACTGCATATAGATTTGTCTGATACACAATATGTTAAATTACATCAGCAGTAAAAAATAATCCAAAATAAGTGAGGCTTTGACCTTTGACATTTTGGCGACGTTGATAGACAACAATAATAACAAAACTGATGAATTAAAAAATGCATATAATTTATATATGAAATTGTTTTGCAATATGTAAAATTATTAAATAGAATAAATATCTAAAACTAAAATAAATGTGTAAAATTTGTGAATAAAATTAAATCTGCGCTAGATTCTGCAGACTTCTCTTGTCAGCCTGAAGTCGGCAAATCCACTGTCTTGGTACAAAACCAGGTGTATTAACGATGACATTTTTTGTTTTTTTTAAGAAAGACAATCGCATTAACATGTTTGGGAGTTAGTTGGGAATTTTTTTTGTAAGTATGTGACCTGTTAAGCTGAAAATTCTCTCTGACGGTGTTGATGTTGCTGGGATGCACATGTATGTATTTGTGGAAAGGTGAATACAGGTGGTTCAAACATTATAATGTAGATCGTCTAGTTTTTCCATAATATATTTTTTTAGTCTGAATTTTTTTTACATAATATATGTATATAAAAATCATGTAGCACTTTGACACATCATTTTCTTAATACTTTTTTCAAAATACTCCAACATTACCCTGAGTTGAATTATTTTATCTTTAAATTCTCCTATTAACTCTCAAGATAAATTACTTGAATATTAACTGAAACTTTGCTGAAAAAACTGTTACATATCAGTGATTACAGCATCATTAACACACAGTGAAACATATTCATAAAATATAGAATTAATGAAGACAAATACAATATCAGGCATCACAAATCAATAGTCCTAGATCAAACAGGATATCAGCAGCATCTCACTCTTGTAGTGGTTGCAGCATTTCTTTCCTCCATATATAAGTTTTCCCTTTGGTGAAAAGTTGATTAAATATCCATGAAGTCCTTTCTTCTAAATATGTGTAAATAAGCAAGAAGTCCTTTCTTCTAAATATGATTACATCGTTTCAATATCAGCAGCATCTCACTCTTATAGTGGTTGCACCATTTCTTTCCTCCATATATAAGTTTTCCCTTTGGTGAAAAGTTGATTAAATATTCATGAAGTCCTTTCTTCTAAATATGTGTAAATATGCGAGAAGTCCTTTCTCCTAAATGCGATTAAATATGCAAGAAGTTTTTTTCTTCTAAATATGATTCGAACATGACTATTCACGCCTTCTATAAACTGTAAACAAAGTCAACATTCTACCCGGGGTATATTCGGAAATAATACCCATGATAAAATGTGTAATGTGTGATGTCATAACGGTGGGTCATAGTAATGGTGGACCATAATGAATATTCGAAATATTTTGGTGAGTGTTCATCTTCGAATCGTAATATAGACCTCAGAGCAGGGGTAATACCAGCAAATACACACCTTAGGGATAGGCACAAAAGCTTTGAAACCCTCACTCCCTTTGGTCATTCAGGGTACAGGAAACGTTTGTACCTAGTCCTGCGGGGTGTATTCGACAATATTACCCCTGCACTTTGGTCTATATTTCTTAATTACATCAAATCAGTATCAAGTTAATACCATAATATAATTCTCCTTGTGTTGTACAGTTTAATTTCACTTAAACCATCTGTCCAGAGTCAGCTGCTTCCCAGCTTTCTTCAATGATAAGTCTAATATTGTCTCCTGCAGTTTTGGTGAAGTTGTTGGTTCATCATTATTGGAAGGTTGTTTGTATGTCGGTTCATCATCATTGGAAGGTTGTTTGTTTATTGACTCAGGTATCAGAAAGGTGTGTGTTTGCTGGATCTTCATCGTGAAGTAAAACTTTAGCTGTTTCAGCTTCTCCCAATATTGAATCCCAGGTCTTCTTTATTACCTTAATTGACTCGTTTGCAGCTTCCATCCTTTTAACTGTTCTTGAGGGGAAATGTCAACTTCTTTCAGGCAAACAGTTTGGTTGGATTATGGTGAAGAGAGCACAAGTGCCAAAGGGAAAGGACCAAAAGTTGTAATGGAACTTAGCAAGAAATAGCAAACTCTTTAGTGCATACAAGTCAAGAAAAACAAGCCCCATATATCCCAAAACCATGATCTAACGAGAAAAGTAACAATGTCTAATACCCCTTTTCCCCCGACATTCAAGAACAGATATCACAATCAAAGACCAGAACACCAAGGGACATTTCATTCATACTGAAGTCATTACAATACATGTTGAAGAAAACATTTGAAATTGATTTCCAATACTCATAACATCAAAAATAGTTGTAGATACAAGTACTCATAAAATGATGTTGGATATATAATCCAGTCTCCAAGTCTGAGATGTCCGAGTGTAACTTTTCAGGATATCATCGCCGAGTGGTGAAAGTCTTGCGAAACAGTCCCACCCACTATCCATATCATTATCAATATCCTGCCAGGGCTCATTTGTCTTCTCTTTTCCCTGGACACTTGCCACCTCTTGGTCCTGTGAACTCAGTAAAGAGGGCCTTACAGATGACACAGGGATATCAAGAAACATCAGATCAGGTCTAGAGTCGATGGCTTCACTTTCATTTGAAAAATCCACATAAGTAATCTTAGGAATGCTCGCATTAACCTGGCCAATATGATTCGCAATGTGTTCGTCGATTGCTTAGTTATAGTACATAGGCCTTGTATACCTACACTCAGGACAATGAAATTTTTCTGTGTGCACATTCCTCGCATGCTTGTTTAGTTTAATTTTACTATCGAATTTCTTGGAGCATAGTTCACATCTGTGTTTGTTATGTAATAGAAACTCATGATCTATTAACGCTTCTATTTCAACGAAGGGAGCCCAACCACTGGCGTAGCTAGGATTTCTCAAGGGGGGTGTATGAGGCAAATTTTTCAGATTAATGAGGCCAATTTTTTCTTTCAATGAGGCAAAAAATCGAAAGCGCGGCAAAAAGTGTCAGTGGGACAAAATCTACTCACACATCATGTATAGTGCATAAAGTAACATTCACATCATCTAGATTACTAATATTTCAAACTGTTTTATTTATTAGCCATATCAGATATCACATTGTTATTAATCATTGTGAATAACCATCAAAAACATGACTTAGATATGGTTTATTTGGACATGTTATACTCTTTTGAACAGCCATAATAATCTTGTCTCAATAAAAAACATCTAAATAACCAATAATATTCTGTTTAATGACTGACTAAACAAGATCTTTGGTATCATGGCATTGCAACACAACTTTTAAAAACATAAATACCTTTAAATAATAAGGAATGAAAAGGTAATCTTATATATCATGACAATGCAGTAAAATACTGAATATTGGCAACTCTTTTTAACCTCTTTATAATTCTTTGAATGGACCTAACAATGAGTCTTAATCGAAACAAAATTGTATAGATACCATTGCGAGGCTATGTACTCTGTAACAGTAAGTCTCTCTGATTTGGCACCCCATACTCTGTTACAGTCTCACTGATTTGACACCCCATACTCTGTTACAGTAAGTCTCGCTGATTTGGCACCCCATGGCACCATTGCAATATTATTAAAGATTACATTTCACAAAAAACCATTTTAAAAGGAAAGGATCAAGATCTTAAATATCATTTTACAAGGAAATGACATTTTAAATATCATGGCAATTTAATGCAATGCAGTATATGTACAACCTTTAAATACTGAAAATTCCTTTAATTTGACATCAACTTGAGGATGTTCAATTCAGCCTTATATAGCTTTTAGATTACAACAAAGTAAAAGTCATGTTACATATAACTAATGAATTGACTGGTGATATATCAGTCAATGCTAGGACATATTTCTTACTAATATTTTGACAAAACAGTTGACAAAGTTTTCTACAGATATTTTCACTTACAATCTGTAACTTGTTACATGTATTGTATGTAAGTAAATAGCACCAACATATTCTAAAGAAACCACCATAATACTGTTGTTTGACTAGTCACATAGTTAAAGGTAGAATCAGATCTATAAGAAGTGACAAAACTACAAAAACAAAAATGTATCTCTTACAATCTGTTATAAAACTCCCAAAATATAAATGAAAAGGAATGATATGAGCCTGGTAAAATTGAGACAATTTTTGTAGACAGTGACTTCTTCCTAGATCTGAATCTATCGTTACTCTTCACTCATACAAAAGACTGGTCATTTTTAACCTCCTTGGATGCAACAATGCAAATAAATCTGCTTCTTTATCCAAAGAAATGTCATGGTCATAGTGAATAAATATCATAGCTAAATCTGAAAGTC